CACACACCCACTTTAAATCTTCATTCGCTTATTAGAGCCTTCAGTTATGCTGCCCTAGGAACCAGACATCATTTCAGAAGCTGTTTCTTCCTCCCTCTCTCGGATTCTGTTCTATTTTCTATCCAAGGCCACTGGGTGAAAACCAGTCCTTCCAAACCGATTCCACTCTGTTTCCTCCCTCACTTAAGCCTGCCCTCAACTGTCTGGTTGCCAAAGGAATGTAAAAGTCAGTGGAATCACGAGGTTTCCACATTTTGGCTGACTTTTCGGATAAGTCATTTGAAAGGAAAAGCCCCGTGCTCTCTTTTCTCTGTAAGTCAGCTTTGTTTCCTGCCCCTGGCTCAACGCCACAGTGAGTCATTTCAACTGCTAGAGGTTAATTTTCCTGTAATAGCCTTATTGTGTTGGAGGGTTTTGGAAATTACAAAAATTAGATGCGCTACTAATTGGCCTGTCTGTTTTTTGGAGCAGCTCCCTTGGTTATAATACAGGCAGAGGAGGCCAGATTAGATTCTCAAACCAACACTTAGATGTGAGGAAAGAAAACTGTTCCGAAAAAAAAAATCACATAAGTGTATTATTTCTTTTTTTTAATTGGCTGGGAAAAGGTACGAGAGATGCATTCTCTTCGCTAGGACTGGGGCAGTGTGTCAACAAGTACTTCTGGGCACTTGCTGTGCCCACTTTAGAGCTGAGCCAGTGGCAAATACAAAAGAAGGATATGCTGCTGCTTAATTTCCAGGGGCTGAGCTTACAGAGGAGAAAATGTCAAATCACGTAGCCATCCATCAAAGTTTCAGATCTGCTCAAAGAACACCTTGGATGTACAGAGAAAATGATCTTGATATTTTTTAATTCATCTGATTAGCTGGGTGGGTAAGTGGGAGCAACTTAAATATACCAGATAATAATACTGCAATCTTTTCTGATCTCAAGAGTCCCCCTCTAGTTTATACTTTTGTTCTATAGGAAGTCCTCCTCCTCAGCATAGCTATGATGCTGGCTATGGATGGCTCCGTCTCTTCGGGCAATTGGTCAGTCTTTTATCTTTCACTCCCCCCTCCACTGCTGCCAAATGGTATTTGGATGTAAGAGGTGGGGCTTAGAGCATTTTTATGGAAGGTTGGTTAAGAACGGGAGTCCTCAGATCTGCATGGCTTCCTCTGGATCATCCCCAGATCCCTGGATGGAGAGGTCAGGTTGTCCTACTTTCTGGTCTAGTCCCAGTGAAGGGTGAGTGGTTTCATCAGGACTTCAGAGTGAGCTGGGGACATCGCCACTGGCCTCTGTCCTGAAGTCTTAGCCCAGTGTTGTCTCTTTTCCTGAACCAAGTCTTTTTCAATCCACCATCCCTCCCAGCCTCTCTGTGTCTCCTCTTAGATCACACAGGGCTTTCTGCATCATTTATTTGCCATGCCCAGCCCGCAGAGAGCCCCGGATTCAGTTTCAATGCCAGCTAGTACCCAACCTCTACTACCTCCATACTTCTGTTCCCACATTATATAGCTCATGGCTCTGAGCTAAAGGCACGTATTTTCCTAGGACCATGGAAAACCCCATGATCTGGCCAAGGACATGAGTCAGCCTCGTTTTCCCCATACTTGGTAGATGTTGCTAAAGTTTCTCTTGCTAGTGATTGAGTTTAGACAGGGACAAGGTCTTTGGTGCCTTCCTATTGTTTCTCTCTGTCATCTCTCTGGTTGAAAGGGAAAGACTCAGAATTCCAGCTCTCTCTAAATCTTCTACTCAGGGAAATAAGCCTTATGGCCACCCCAAGGGCTTGTCCCCTCTGTACTGTGAAAAGCGCTTTGTGGCTGTGTCCTTTAAGTTTGGTTCATGGTTTGATAAATGGGGGCTCATCTGTGATCAGAAACTGAATGTCAGACCTTTAGCTTGCTGCAAAATCCAATCTTGAGATCAGAAGTTGAGCGTAAACTCTTTCTCTTTGTATGATGGAGTGGTTAAGAGGACATGCTCTGAAGCAACACCCCTGAATTTGCATTCATTCTATCCCTTAGTAGATTTGTAACCATGGTTATGTTTTGTAACCCGCTCTGTGCCTCAGTTTCATTGTCAGTAGAACAAAACGAAACAAAACAGTATTACCTCCATCAAAGGGTTGTTACTGCAGATTCTGTCAGTTTGCTTACGTGAAGTGCTTGGCACAGTGACTGGTACCTAGTCAGCCATATAAAAAATGTTGACTATTATGTGAATTTCTCTTGGAACAATCCTAATGGGTATTTCTGGGAAAACAGAGGGAGGGTTGAGTGTGTTGGGAGGACAGGAAATTGGAGGGAAGGGTCAATATTATTAAATGTAGGAGATAATTGCATAAATCTATTTTCAAAATATCATCTCCTTTATACTTATAGGAACAGTTAAAGGCTAATACGAGGCAACACAGAATTAGGCACTAAATTTTATTCTGCATAGTGGATGCACTACCAGCATTCAGCTGAAGGAGAGAGGAGATGAATTTAGTGGCAGTATGCAGGGGAGTTTTTATGGAGCTGCAGGAAATGAAAGGATGGGTGGGATTTGGGTGAAGAGACGGGGAGCGCAGAGCTTGAACGATAGCAATGGAAGGATTTTTATCTTTATAGGCAATATGTGAAACCAAGTGGGCTTTTTATTGTCTTTGGTGAATTCATTCCTTGGAAATGGTTCAAAGGGATAAAAGGGAACGGATTAACCGTTTCTGCTTGCATGGCAGGGAGATTTAGTTGTCTATAAAGACTTGAGTATGTGGCAACTGATTGGCTACCTGGCCGGTGATCTGAGTGTTTCCTGTAATCGTTCTCCTGTAATCTGATTCTGTGCCGATGAGGTTTTTTTTTTTTTTTAGAGGATTTTTTCCTCTTCCATTTTTAAAAAGAATAACAGGAGGGGACTGCTGTGCTCTGAGCAGCTCCAAAGCCCACCAGTCTGTGAAGGGGAAGTTTTCTTTTTCCCTGGCTCTGTTGCCTCATCCTTACCTTTCCCCAGGACCAGATGCTGACCCCGAAGATGTTCTATTCTGACCTTCAGCCTCCCTCAAGCTTCTCTCTGTCTTACAGCAGACTCAAGTCCAGAATGAATTTTAGTGATTTTCTAGGAAGAAGCAAGTTACAGGAAGAACATTGTGCAACCCCTTTCTGACCTTAAACACTCTAAAACCATTAGGAACATCATGGTTGCATTAAGTCTAGGACTGAACATTACTCCTGGGGGAAAAAAAAATGAGTAAATATCCTTTCTAAGCTTGATCCAAGGCTGCTGGACAATTGTTGTGGCTTCTTATATTGGTATTTTATGGATGAAAAAAAATAGGCAATTAGGGAGTGGGTTATAATGTAATCACCTTGGATACCATTGTTTCTACTATTTATAGCTGTGCTAAAATTTGTGCTAGATCTTCAGTGACTCTCCTACCATTATTCAGAGTCTAAAAACTACGAGCATGACTGTCTACCTAGAATTCTGACAATTGCACCGGCCTCTAGAGCATTGGGCATGAAAATCTGTGTTTGGGTGCAAATGAATGTTACTATTTATACACTTGTCTTCCTAAAAATCCTCTCTAAAAATCTTATTTTTCAGAGGAGGGCGAAAAAATCCATGGCATAATGAAAGTTATCAGCAGGAATTCTAATCTCATTTTAGAATTCTATAGAATCTGTCCTTGAAAACACAGACTCCCCCAAATCCCAGCAAGTGTCCTGAGGACTGCCAGAGGAGCACTGGTTATTAGACAGATTTTAATTTGTGCAAACCCATTAACAAAAATCTCTAATTAAAAAAAAAATCAATAGATGCCTGTGATATTAACCAGGAAAATCTAATAAGGGACCATTAAAAATTTTTTTTCTATTCAATTAACTTAAATACAACATGATGGACTCAACAGATACTTTAATTAGATGCATATGAATAGAAATTTTAAAAAATTAAACAGACTCTGTATTTGCCACTGTTATAAGGCAAACTGCAGTGAAAGATTTACTCCAGTCCCTAATGACCGGTAATTTCCTTGAGAGGGACATGAATTCTTAGACATCCTTACAAATCAACCCTTCCCAGGAGGCTGTTTTTTGTCAAGAAATTGTACATGGTGCTGCCTGCTTCCTTCTTAATTCTTTTTTTCTGTGTGAGATATTCTTGTGGAAAACAGAAAATGTAAGTTTAAAGGGACTGGTTACCAAACTCACTATTCCAGGCTCCTCACAGTAAAAATGGCCCAAAATAAATGGCTCTAATTTACAGGGTGAACATGTGTCCACGATTGTCCTGGACAGTCTCAATTTATGCCTGTTGCCTTGGCACCATTATTAATGGCACTTCTTTTTGCTCTAAATAGTGTCTTGGTTTGGACAATAAATTATACAGTCATCCTACTAATTTATCAACCATCCCCACACCCTGTTTCATACTGCTAAGCTGGCCTTTTCAACTTCTGGTAGAAATACAGGGTTTCCATGCTCATGAGAGGTTAAAATTTGGGAAATTGAAGAGTACCCATTACTGCCTATGCAAGAAGTCTGCAAACTGACATTTGCCCCTCCCTCATTTAGTCGCTGGCTGCTGCTTCCCTGGTTTCCCACCTCCGACTTTATGTCCAATGCTTTTGCATTCACGATGAGTGTCAGACTCTTGTGAGATGAACTTAACATAATTCCCACTACAGAGGTTCTCCAGTCCGAGATGGTTCTGGCCTCTTCTATTTAAAAGATGACTGTCCTCTTCTAAACTAATTTGTTAATTGCCATATATCACATATGCTTGAGAGAAAAGTGTATATATAAAATCTCACAAAGCCACGTGGTAGCCGGACTCCAGGCTGGCTCTCAGTCATCCCTGCTTCCTGATATTTACACCCTTGTGTGTTCTCTCTTCGTTGTACCAGGATTGGGTTTTTCAGCCAGCAAATGATGATTTGTCATCCTAAGATTAGGTGTTACAAGACTGCTATTTCCATTTTGTGTGTCCTATTGCTTACATGCTCTCCCTTTCTTTTTCAGATTACCTACTCTGGGGGAAGCCATGTTGTGAGCTAAGTTGTAAACAACCCTAGGAAGAGGCCCACCTGGCAAGGGGCTGAAGTGTCTGGTCAACTACAAGCAAATGAGTGAGCATGGAAGTGGATTCTCCAGCTCCAGGTAAGCCTATAGTCTTGGCCAAGGGCTTAACTGAAATCTATTGGGAAACTCTGAACCTTGACGATGCAGACTCCTAACCCTCAGAAATGGTATGAGGTAACAAATATCTGTTGTTTTAAAGTGTAAAGTTTTGGGGTAATTTGTTAGGCAGCAATAGCTAACTGATACAGCTAAAATCCCTGCTTGCTGGGGGAATGTCAGTACCAGGAACCAGGAAAAAGGTGGAGATAATAAGGGCATAATCCGTTGATCTGTTCATTTAACAAACACTTATTGATCACCTACAAGATGCCAGCTACTGTGTAAGACTCTGTCTAGGTACTGAGGATGTTGGAATGAGTTAAGGATATAGAGATGAACACTTGCTTCATGAAGTTTAGAATCTAGAAACATCTGGGAAAAAAACAGGAAAATTTCTTATCAATTTCTGAGCATTTGCCTATCTAGAAGGATGAGTATGTGAAAGTGTAAGGGGCATTAAATGTCAAATATACCCTGAACACTTATAGCTTTTATTGCTACTATTTAATTTATGCACACGAGTATATACCAACCCCAAATCAAATGATTCACTTGCATCACAGGAAAATTAGACCCTAGTTAATAAATTTAGAAATAATTTCCCCCCAGCTTGGAGAGTAGCTGAAATAAAACTGTGATGTTAATCACTAAGAGAAATTTGAATATTAATATACTATGGGATGATTGGTTTTAATTGAACAGTAAACACAAGGTGATAAATTTTGTCTGGTGTTAATTTACATGTGGGCTTAACCAAGAAGAAGATGGGTTGGGGGTTATTCTCCAAGGGAAACTGGCTCTGAAATTTTGGCATGGTGTCTTAATTTGGTCATAAAAATGGGAGTTATTTTTAGAATCTTAAATTCTAAGTCCATCACTGACTTTTTCAATGGTCTGAAAGAAGCAATTTACTGCCTCATATTTCTATTTATTAACACACATTAAGTGGAGATGATAATGCTTAGATAGCTCTAGCAGGAAGATTTCAAAAATAAATCACACAGTGTTGGATAAGACTTATGCAAGAGAGAGTTATCACCTGAGTAAGAATTGGTCTTTTCATTTCCCGTGCTGCGTCATCACGATTTTAAGGAAAATTCTTGGCTGTGACTGTGTGGTCCACATTCAGAGTCGTGTTCCCCCAGCCCCCACCTTCGGATGTCAGGTTGATATTCTTGCGAGATAGGACAGTGTTTCCACCTGCAGCACCGTGGATGTCTTTGCTCTGCACGTTAATGAAGAATCAGTGCTGACAGATCCACGGTAATCACCGTTCTTTTCAACGTCCCTTCTCTCCCCAAAGCTTAAACTAATAATAATAACCATTTTAAAGCTTTCTCATGGGAAACTTGAGCATGACTGGAAGGGAAGTCAGTTGTTCTTAGGACAACTATTATTGTAAGAATTAATCACCGCTATTTGCAATTACTGTACCATACAATTATCACTAATATTTATGCCGCTTTGGCTGCTGCTGGAGACTACCTTGCCTTTGCTGCTATTACCCCAGAACAGAGAGGCAGAGTGGAAAAATAAATGAAACCCGAGGATGGAGATGAAAGGTTGAGGGGATCCGATTCTCCTACTGTCAGCCCAAGATGTATTAAACAGCCACTGCCTGCTCATGTCACAACAGCAACCCGCTCAGAATGGGAAGTTTTCCTCTGAAAGAAAAGAAAAGAACGCAAATAGGTTTGAGAGGATACAAATTAGAATTATTCTCAGCCTTAAACATCTATTTTCTGATCCTGCATAACTCAGTTCTCCTGAAGCATATGATTCTTTGTCATGCACACACACATGCACAAATCTGCCATTCCCTGTTTTGCACTACAGCAGTTGGACCCACCAGGGTGACACTCCATCTGTGCTGGTGAGAGATATTTGGCCGCCATATTGGAGGGGAATGGTTAAAATTTCAGGCATTCAATTTCACTAAGCAATAAAAAAAAATGACTAGTCTTTATTTTTCTTATCTATTGATCCAGCACTAATTTATAATTTAAACATATTTAAAATTATTTATGCTTTTATTTATTTTGAGTAACTTTAAACTTACAAAAAAATCGAAGACGTTGTATTAAAGTATTTGTATAACTTTCATTCATGTTTCCCCAAATCACAGTGCGATTATCAAAAATCAGGAAATAACATTGAAATAGTAGTATTATCTAATCTACAACCTTGAAGATTTCACCAGGTTTTCATTAATGTGCTTTGTTTTCAGTCCAGGATCAAATCCAGAATCCTGCATTGTATGTCATTGTCCTTAGTCTACCTTAATCTGGAACAATCCTCATTTATTGTTTTTTCTAATTTTACCTTGGATACTCTGATGGTTTTGAAAAGTAACGTCTGAATATTTGTGATGATTTGTGAAATGTCTCTCCCATTTGGTTTTCCTTGAGATATCCTCAGGATTACATTCAGGACATGCGTTTTAGGGGACAGAAATATCACAGCAATGAAGTTGTGGCCTTCTTAGCGCATCCTATCAGGAGGGACATAGATTACTGGGGAAGTCTCTTTTTTAATTAAGCTTTTTAGTTTTGCAATAATCAGAGATTCACAGGCGATTGAAAAAAATCATACAAATAATCTCATAGACCCTTTGCCTAGTTTCTTCCAATGTGAACAGCTTCCACAATCATAGTGCAGTACCAGGATATTGATACTCGCACAGTCAAGGTACAGAATATTTCCATCAACACAGGGATCCTTCATTTTGCCCTTTTTAGCCACACGCACATCCCTTCTCCCTCACCCTCTTCTTAGCCCTTCAGCAGCCACTATTCTGTTATCCACTTTTATAACGGTGTCATTTCAAGAATGATTGATAAATGGAATGTAAACTTTTGGGACTGGCTTTTTTTTTTCCCATTCAGCATAATTCTCTGCAGATTCATCCAGGTGGTTGTGTACACCAATAGTTTTTTTCCTTTTTATTGCTGAGTAGTATTTCATTGTATAGGTGTATCACAGTTTAACTATTCGCTTGTTGAAGGATGTTTGGGTTACTTCACTTGGGGGATAATAAGAACAAAGCTGTCATAACCATTTCTGTATGGGTTTTCATGTGAACATAAAGTTTTTCATTTCTCTGGGATGCATGCCCAGCAGTGCAATTGCTGAGTCATTGTGATTGTTGCATGTTTAGGTTTTTAAGAAACTGCCAGACTTTCCCAAAGCAACTGTACCATTGCACATTCTGACCTGCAAAGTATGAGTGATTTAGTTTTTTTGCATATTCACCAGCATTTAGTATTGCCACTATTCTTGGTTTAGCCATTCCAATAAAAGTATAATGATATCTTGTGTTTTTTAATTGAATTTTGCTCATGGCTAATAATATTTAGCATCTTTTCTTATGCTTATTTGCCATGAATATATCCTCTTTGTTGAAATGTCTGCTCATGTCTTGCCCGTGTTCTAACATAATCATTTGTTTGTTTTTCTGTTGTTTTGAGGAGTTCTTTACATATTCTAGATTCCAATCCATTGCTGGATATGAGGTGGGCAAATATGTTACCCTAGACTGTAGCTTGTATTTTCATCCTCTCAACAGGCCCTTTTACAGAGAAGAAGCTTTAAATTTTGATGAAGCCCAATAATCATTTTTTTAATAGATTGTTCTTTCTGGGTCAAATCTAACAATTCTTTGCTTAGCCTTAAATCCTGAAGATTCTGCCATATCTTCCCTCCAAATTTTAGAGTTTTATATTTTCCACTCAAGGCCATAATCTATTTTGGGTTCATTTTTGCCTATGGTATAAGACTTAGGTGAGGTGTTTTGGGTTTTTTTGTGTTTTTGTTTTTGTTTTTGTTTTGTGGTCCAGGGGTGCCAACTTTCTCCAGCACCATTTGTTGAAAAGGCGACCTTTCCTCCATTGAATTGCTTTTACACCTTTGCCAAAAATAATCCAGGCATTTTTTTCTCAGACTGCTCCTGGGTGCTCCATTTCATTTCACTATTCTATATTTCTCTCCTTTCACTAACATCCATAGTCATGATTAGTGTATCTACATACACTGAAGACTGAATCCTCCCTCTTTAATCTTTTTCAAATAGTTTTATCTGTTCTAGTTCCTTTGACTATCCATGTGAATTTTAGAATAATCTCATATAAATCTACTATGTTATCTTGCTTCCATTTTGATAGGAGTTGTGGTAAACTTGTATATTAATCTGAGGAGAACTGACATCTTTACTATGCTGAGGCTTTCAATGCATGAACACAGGAGGTTTCTAAGAAAGGAAGCCATACAGATAGTAAAGACAATCTCCAGATCCATCCATGTTGCTGCAGATACCATTATTTTATTATTTTTAATGGCTGAGTAGTATTCCATTCTGTGTGTGTGTATGTGTATGCGTATGTGTGGTATATATATATATATATACCACATCTTCTTTATCCAGTCATCTGTGGATGGACATTTAGATTGCTTCCATGTCTTGGCTATTGTAAATAGTGCTGCTATGAACATTGGGTTGCATGTATCTTTTCAAATTAGAGTTTCCTCTGGATATATGCCCAGGATAGGATTGCTGGATCATACAGTATGTCCATTTTTAAGGAACTTTTTTAAGGAACTTTAAGGGAGTTTTTTAAGGAACTTCCATACTGTTTTCCATCATGGCTGCACCAAACTACATTCCCACCAGCGTGTAGGAGGGTTTCCTCTTCTCCACACCCTCTGCAGCATTTATTGTTTGTGAACTTGTTAATGATGGCCATTCTGACTGGTGTGGCATGGTACCTCATTGTAGTCTTGATTTGCATAATAACTGCATGATGGGTATTGATATTCACAGTGTGGTGAACATATCTGAAACATGATGATGTTTAAGAGGTCAGGTCCTGTAGTCAGGCAGAGATGGATTCTGCTCTTTTATTGAGCGTATGACTTTGAGCAAGGTAACTCAGGCTTTCTGAAGCTTAGATTTGTCATTCTGAAATGGAGGTAACAATTGTTAC